CCAGATGCCCCATTCAGATTACTGGTATGTGGAGGCTCCCATAGCAGAAAAACTAACATGGTTATAAATCTTATGCTAGGTAAAAAGCTCCAATGCATGTTTAACAGGAAAAAAGGTAATCGGTATATTAAGAATGACGATCTGGTATTGATAGAAAAGCATTCTGAACCAAAATGGGAATTAGTAAAAAATGCGTACCAGATCTTTGCAAATGCCCCTAAACCATATCGAGAAGATGTTATATTTAAAAGGATATCTCCAGATAAAATTCCAAATATAACTAAATTCTTTCCAGAGTGAAGTACAGTTGTTGTATTTGAGGATTTATGTGCTGAACCAAAGAAAGTACAAGAACGAATTATTCCCTACTTTATTAGTGGCCGGCATCAAAATATCTCACCCGTATATGTAAGCCAGAAATATACACAAACCCCAAAAATTATTCGTGAAAATATCTCACACCTAGCCTTATTCCGGGGCTCGGGATCTAGAGACGATATTTGCAGAATCATACGTCAATATACAGATGATCCAAAAAAAGCATCCAAGATTATTGATAAGCATTTGCGGGATCGAGAATTCGTGGTTTTTGATTTTACCAAGGCAGTAGATGATCCACTTGCTATTAGATTGGGTTGGGATACACCCTTAAATCTTATGTGATTTCAGATATTTTAGGAATTTTTCTGCCTCTTGCAATTCTATCTTCTTTTCTTCAACCTCATATCGTAATTTTTTATTTTCATTAACCCGCTTTTCATGCTCTATAGTAATTTCTCGCATAAATTTATCAAAAGTTTTTTCGTTGTATTCCAATAATCGCTGAAATAAAACATTAACCTCTTTCTTAACCCGGTGATTAATCTCATCCTCACATGCGAAGCAAGGACACCTATGTGTCTGATCACATGAACAAATCGGAATAGTATCTTGGGTTTGGAATTCTTGGTTAATCATGTCTATATGTGTCTTAACACTAGCTTTGTTATTATAATTATACGATAAATTTTCAAGTGGATCTATAATTTGGATTTGTTTTTTACGCTTTCTATTTAATCCTTTTTCATATACCTCTAATGTATGATACAAATAATTCTCAATTCGAACATATTTTTCAGAAATTTGCTCTGATGTGACGGGGATCTAGAGTGGTGTAAAAGCCTGTGGTATGCTCTCTTAACCAGACTTTTTGGAAGTTTCGCTATAATGGGGTTGTAATCAGGATGAAACATTGATTATTAGTTTGTGTGCAAAAAGTTTGCATGGAAAAAATATAGAATATACATTGATAAAAAATCAAAGTAAAAAATGTTACCAGCCCTCGGGGATAACGAAATAAAGTCTAAAGTACTAGCCCCAGGAATACTTCAGGCAGTTTATTTTAAATAGATATATATGAATAAGTTATATAATTGATTAAATACTATGCTTCTATTTCTAAAAGTCGCTTTTGGAATCTAATATGCAATTGTCTCTTTTTATAATCTATCCAATTATCCGGAATATAATATTCTTCATATTGTCTATTAATAATGGAACTGCGCATCATAGGATCATTTTTATATAATTCAATCCATTTAGTATGCCATTGATTAAATTGTTCTCGAGTCTGAGGATTTTTTACTTGATGTCGAGTTAAACCTAGAAATTTTTCATCATCAGAAGTACCATCATTTTTCATTGCATTCCAAGCTTGGGTTGCTAATGATTCAGGTCTATTCTTATAATTTGATAAACTATTTGTATAATTCTTGCTTTTCCAAAATCAGTTTTTGGTTTATTACATTCATGGTCCCAATGTTTCTGCATCAGATCTTTAGGTTTGAGACAATCAACATACCTCTGTCTAGTAAAATGGAATAATTTTTTAGGATTCACATTATCAATTTTTATGAGTTTCCAGCAACCAAAACAAATAGCCATATGACTTTTATGAATCTTTGGTCTGTAGTAATCGAAATTGACAAATTTACCTTTACCAAATGACATAAATAAACAATATCGATGATATACACTAAATTTTCCTGAATTTAACAAATCTTGTAATGGAATTCTTACTCGTATTGCCCATTGAACAGGTGTTTCATTCTGTTTTATAGTAGATAAAGTGTCAAATAATCTCTCATTATCGAAAATTTGATTGAGTTTATTAGC